TGAGATTGGTGGTGGCCTCTCACAGTGGCGTCCCTCAGAGCTGCAGTGAGATTGGTGGTGGCCTCTCACCATGCGTCCCTGAGAGCTGCAGTGAGATTGGTGGTGGTCTCTCACAGTGGCGTCCCTCAGAGCTGCAGTGAGATTGGTGGTGGCCTCTCACAGTGGCATCCTTCAGAGCTGCACTACCTGGGGACAGCTTCCTCCTCCCTCTCCCTCAGGGCTCTAAGCCCTGGTTCCCCAGCCTTCTGCTAAACCCCTGCACTTTCTTGTGAGTGGGTTCTGAAAGGGAAAACCTCCATTTCCCATCTCCCTTGTCCTTCCTTGTTTCATCCCCCTTCTTCTTTGCCCAGCCAGCCAGCCAGCAATTGAACATTATTATTATTATTTGAGACAGAGTTTTACTTTTTCGCCCTTGTAGAGTGCTGTGACATCATAGCTCACAGCAACCTCAAACTCTTGGGCTCAAGTGATTTTCTTGCCTCAGCTTCCCAAGTAGCTGGGACTATAGGTACCTGCCATAACACCTGGCTATTTTTAGAGAAGGGGGTCTTGCTCTGGCTCAGGCTGGTCTCGATCTCATGAGCTCAAGCAATCCACGCCCCTCAGCCTCTGGCCTCAGTTGAACATTTGTGATCTTTTTATGCACATATTTGTTAACCTTTGAGTAGAAAGAGGAGTCAGGAATGGTTTATGCACTAAAGGAGCTCACCCTGGGGAAGAGCGTGCTTGAGAGAGTGGTGACAATTCTGTGCTACAGAGGCAGCGACAGGGGGGTTGTTAACATGGATGAGGACGTGCTTGATGAGCCTCTGATAAGTCTTCCTGGAGGAGAAGGGAGGCTGAATTAGGTCCTGAGAAATTAGCAGGAGAGGGCCAGTGGGAGAGGGGGTGGAGGAGTGGGGTCAGGGAGACATCATCTGTCCAGAGGCGTGGCAGCGGGGGGTGGGGGAGGTGCTGTGTGGTGCAGAGACTGAAAAATGGTGGGGAGGGGGCTGGGGAAGAGGGGGAAGAGGACGAGGTGAGCTGGGAGGGATGGGCTGCACCTCAGAGGGCGGCAGCCTTTAGGTTCTGGGTGCTGCCTGCTGGGCCTGGGAGTTGGCGGAGGCCTTTGAACAGGGATGGCTGGGTTTGAGATGCCCCTCTGGCAGCTGTGGATGGCTGTGGAGAGAGGGCTGGCCAGGGAAAGGCTGTGGAGGAGCCTGTTCAGTGGCTGTAGAGAGTGGATGAGAGATGATGAGGGCTTAAACTTCTCTCCCTGCTGATGGGGAGAAGAGGTGGAACAGGTGACCAGTCAGCTGGGGAAGGGGAAAGGAACCTGGGAAGAAGCTGCTACGGTGAATGGGAATGGGGAATAAATACACAGGGAGCCAGGCCCCTTCCAGAAAGTCCAGTTTTCTTTCATGCATTATTTTTTATTTCTCTGCTCCTTTAAAATGATCCTAAAATCTCTGTCTCAGAGATGTTATCTGGTTAACCCATGGTTCTCTGATACCCTAACCCTTCTGTTTACGCCAAATCTTTCCTTTGCATATATTCTCCCATTCATTCATTCCATCAACAAGTTCTCATGGAGGGCCCACTGTGTGCCCAGCCGTGGACTTGGACCTGGGGGCACAAGGGTGGAAAGACAAATGAGGTTTATGCCCTCACTGAAGCTTCTAGAGGAGCAGACTGGTGGTAAAACATATTGGATAACCTGAAACTGAGTAGAATTTGTAAGGAATGTAAATGATCTGTGATGAAGTTTGAGGGATCAGTCAGAACCGTGTCTATGGGACCACAAAGACCATGGTCAGGGAACTGTATGCTATCTGGGAGCTATCACAGAAAGCCAGGAGGGCTTAAGGGCTTAGGGGGACAACAAGCAGCAAGGCAGAGTTCTGTGGTGTCTCTGAGGTTTGGGGCTTGAGCAACTAGGTTGATGGGGTGTCATGTACTGAGGCAATACTGTGGATTTATCTAGTGTGGGGTGTATTTGATATATGTTATTTCTATCAGCACCGCAACTGACAAATTTGGAAATCTGTGAAGGACGTTCTCCATAGAATGTCACGTCTGCAGCAAATTGATAGGGATTTCTTTTTTTTTGAGACAGAGCCTCAAGCTATCCCCCTGGGTAGAGTGCTGTGCCATCACAGCTCACAGCAACCTCCAACTCCTGGGCTCAAGCGAGTCTCCTGCCTCCGCCTCCCAAGTAGCTGGGACCACAGGTGTCCACCACAATGCCTGGCCACTTTTTTTGGTTGCAGCCATCATTGTTGTTTGGCGGGCCCGGGCTGGGGATTCAAACCCGCCACCTTAGGTGTATGTGGCTGGTGCCTTAGCTGCTTGAGTCACAGGCGCCGAGCCAGGGATTTCAATTAGATGATGAGTCACATATAAGGTGTGCTTCCTCTCTTGATTTGGGTCATTTATAAAGTGTATTTGTGCCAGGCACAGGAGCTCACATCTATAATCCCAACACTTTGGGAGGTCCAGGTGGGAGGATCCCTTGAGGCCAAGAGTTTGAGACCAGCCTGAACAATAGAGCAAAAATCTACTCTATCAAAAAAATTAAAGATTAGTGGGGCACAGTGGCATGTACCTATAGTTCCAGCTAAGGACAAAAAGGAATTTTTTAATCCATGGAACCAATTGGGTATTGTAGGGTCAACTGAAGATTTTTTTTCAAAAAGAGTCTTTTAATTGTTCAAAATAACACAAAACGGCATCGTGCTATGGTAATACTGAGTCCCAGGGTTACTCTACGATAGATGAACAGGCGTACTATCTCAGAAACAAGAGAAATCTAAGGGTGCTTGGGAGCAGGAACGGGGGTAAAACAATGGGACCAGGTGAGCGGCCTCCAAGGTGACTAAACATGACAGTTCCACAGTGCACATACTATAGTGCAATAGACCAGAGGCCCTGGAGGGCGTGGGCCAGAGGTGAGGGCTGTTCCTCTTTACCACATCATCTCCAGGCAGAGATGGGGGGCTGAAAAGATCAGCTGCTCCTTCCAAGCCTTTCCGAGACTGCCTGCAAGCCCTGCGCTTTGTGTAAGCTAAGGCATGGGGCAGAAAACTCCCAGCTGAGCCCCACTCTGAGTTGGGCCCTTAGAAGGACTGAACCAGCCTGAGGACAATGCTGCAGGTTCGTGATGGCTGGTGCTTCAGCCTCCCCCGTGGGTGTCACCACACAAGTCCTTCCCGGGCTGCCTCCAGTCCCCACCCCTTTCTGTTCTGAGGGAAGAGCAGTGAGTGCCAAAAGTGACAGCCCAGAGTGTCAGATGAACTGAAGGTTTTCTGACCATTAACAAACTCAGATGACAACCTGTTTAACCCCCCCCCCCCAGTTTGGGGTGTATTAATTGCTTCTTCACGTTAATATTCCATTCTTTACCTTTTTAGGTTTCCTTTATTTCCATTTCCTGCTGCTTGTGCCTAGGGCCACATTTCCTGGTGGGAGAAGCAGAGCGGGGCTTGGTTTGATCACTGATGGAAAGAATTTTATGGGATGAAATATGCTGTGCTGTTTAGTATGGCTATATATTTTTTTCAATTAAAAAAATGGCACAAGCATGCTTTTATCCTAGGTGACTGCTACTTTGAGAAACTTGGTTGATTCACCACTGGCAAGAAGTAAGTTGCTGAGCGTCAGTGCCATTCCCCAGCTCTGCACGGTGACGGAACAGTACCTGGGTGACAAGGACATCTGTACCAATGTGGTCAGAATATTCAGGTGGGTAGAATCAGAAAACAAAGAGGCCGATGCTTAGGTTTTGGGTTATCATTAATATCTGGATGTGTGACTGGCAAAAAACCCTCTTTTTGCCTGAATGTCACCTTGCAGAAAAGGTAAGTCTAGTGGCCCAAGCTTGTAATGAATGGCTCACACGAGTGACTCCATTTTCTGTGCGATCCTAATGTAAGTGTAAACACATTCATTGTAAGTCACTTAAGTTCTTTGGTGAGTTGTGATTATTGTAGTGTGTGTTTTTGTTTCAATATTCCTCTCAGCTTATAGGCGATAAAGAACTACTATATCACAAAACACAGAAACTTTCTGGTATACTTGGAAACAGTACTTAAGAGTTTTAACTCACAAAGGGGATCAATGCTTAGAAAGTCTGGTCTGACTTAGTCTGTAACAGAAGGTTATTTTTAGTTCACTTATTCGGACTTTGGTTCACTCATTTAGTAGCCATGCTTACACTTACTTTATTTACTCCAGAAATGATGATCATTTGAATCCAGATTGCCTCAAAGCAAGATGTTGTGAAATGTCAGACTGTCTCTCATTATGCATTTATATCCGCCCCCCCCATCCTGTTTCTTGACAGTGTTTTCACATTATGATTCTTCTCAGGAGCCCTGGGCCTTTCTTGAGCCCCAATACTGTAGTTATTTAAAGAAATACAAAATTTCCTGAAGAATGAATTGGCAGTTGATCCCAGTATGAAGATGTGAGTCCAGATTTGATCTTTTTACACTGTGCTTGCCTGAGCGTTGTTCTGGATACTTAATGACTGCTCCCAGTTTGAAGCATTGTAAAATCATGATGAATTAATTTTTGTGTATGGTGGCACATAGGGGTCAGATTTAATTATCTATGTGGATAGTCAGTTATTCCAGCACCTTTTATTGATTATGCCACCCTTTCTCTCTGTCTTTGTGAATCCTGCATAAGTTTCCACACACTTGCAGGTCTGTTTCTGGGTGTTTTAACTCAGCCCATGCTCAGACCAACACACTGTGTTTACGATCACAGATTTAAGTTCTGCTGTCAGAGAAGATGAGTCTCTCACTTTTTTCCCCTTTAAGATCCAGACTCTTTTTGTCCTTTTCTCTTCCTTTTGAATCAGGGAATCAGCTAGATCCACAGGCAGAACTGTGGGATTTTTAATGGAACTCTACTGAGGGTAGAGAATAATGGGATAGGGAAGAGGAGAATTAATATCTTTTTGATATTGAGCTGTTCATTATAAACATTTATGGCATCTTCTTTATGTCCTGCCTATGAAATTTTGTTATTTTATCCATAAGGATTTTGCACATTGTTTGCTAGATTTATTTCTAAGCTCCTCATGGCTTTTGCTACAATTATAAATATCTTTTAAAAAATTATTTTCTCGGCTTGGCACCTATAGCTCAACCGGCTAAGGCGCCAGCCACGTACACCTAAGGTGGCGGGTTCGAATCCCCAGCCCGGACCCGCCAAACAACAATGATGGCTGCAACCAAAAAATAGCCGGGCGTTGTGGCGGGCGCCTGTGGTCCCAGCTACTTGGGAGGCGGAGGCAGGAGACTCGCTTGAGCCCAGGAGTTGGAGGTTGCTGTGAGCTGTAATGCCACGGCACTCTGCCCAGGGGGACAGCTTGAGGCTCTGTCTCAAAAAAAAAAAAAAAAAAAAAAAATTATTTTCTCATAGTTTGTTGCTGATGTATATGAATGACATTGCTGTTTGATTATTAATCTTGTATTCAAGAATCTTGATGAACATTAGGAATAAGAGTTTGTGTATAGATTGTCCTGGATTTTCTGTGCAACTTGTCTGTGAATAAAAGTAGTCTTATATTTTGTTGTTTTCCAAGTATTTTGACTCTTCCTCTTTGTTCCTATCTCTTTTATCACATTGCTTAGGAAGCCAGTGCAAAATTGTGAGTGTTGGGACTATTGCCTGTCTCCTGATTTTAACAAAATATTTTTATGGTTTTGCCAGCTGAAAGTAATATTTCCTGTGGGTTTTGGTAGATAACTTTAGAAATTTAAGAAAATATTTTTTTCTCATTAATGGATATTAAGTTTCATCAAATGCTCTGAATCTCTTTTGATTACATGGATTTTCTTTTTCTTTAATCCATCAATGTACTAAGTCACACCAATATATTTTCTCATGTTAACCCATTTATATATTGCTGGGGTTGGTTGACTTTGCCTTTTAAGATTTTTCATTTGGGATTGTGAGTTAGATAGACCTGTACTTTCTTTTCTTATGTTGTCCTTGTCTGCGCTTAGTGTTAAGTTGATGTCAGCCTTATAAAATGAGTTGGGAAGTAGTCCAACTTTTTCTCTTTTCTAGAAGAGTTTTTGAAAATTAAACTTATCTGTTTCTTGGAATGTAGAACTTGCTCAAAATCCTATTTTTATCCTCTCTGTCTGTGTGTGGATATTGTTGATTACTGACTCAAATTCTTTATATATGGTTATATGTTTAGTTCAATTTCATATTTCTACTTGCTTCAGTTTCAAAGTTATAGTTTTATAGGAATTTGTCCATTTTATCTAAGTTTTCAAACAATATAAATTCCAAATTTTCTCTTATTATCATTTTAATCTCTATTATATTCCTCAAACTTTTGACCTCAAGCAATTCTCCCGCCTTGGGCCTCCCAAAGTGTTAGAATAACAGGTGTGAACCACTAAGTCCAGCCTCTGTCACACCTCTAATTATGTCTCCTTTTGTTTATTTTACTTATTTAACAACTGGTTATACAGCACTTTCTACATGCCAGGCAATATTCTATGTACTTTCCAAAGACTAATTCTTATAAAAACTTTTAATACAGGCACTATCATTGTCATTGTCATTTTCCTTAAAGAAAACTGAGGCATAGAGAAGAAGTTCAGTGGTTTTCCCAAGATCATACAGCTGTAAGTTGTAGGGCTGCAATTCACATCAGGTAGTCTGGTTCTAGAATTTATACTTTCAGCCACTATGTTACACTGCTTCTTCATCATTAATATTGATTTTTCTTTTGATCATTTATGATGTTTCTCTTTTTCTCCTGGTCAGTCTTTCCAAATTTTGCCATTTTCATTAGTTTTTGCGAATAATAGGCTCATTGATCTATTTTATTATATTCTTTCTGCTCTTATCCTTACTAATCCCTTTCTTCTCCTCTCTGTGAATATATTTTTCTTCCAATTATTTTAGTTAGAAACTCAACTGTTTTCTTTTCAGCCTCTTTAAGGCTATAACTTTTCCTCTAAATACTGCTTTACCTGCATACTTCAGACAAAATCAGGTGCATTCAGGGTGGTATGGCTGTAGACTACCTGTATACTTCAAATTTTTATTTGTAGTGTTTTTGTTATTATTTATATCTAAGTATTTTTTGATTTTCATATTTCTTTGACCTATAATTTATGTATTAATTTAAAAGTATTCCAAAAGTATTAATTTAAAAAATATATATTTTAAAATTGATGTCTAATTTAGTTGTACTTTGATCAGAGAGTATGGTCTCTTAGACATCAGTTCTCTGCAAATTTATTAAGATCTGTTTATGGCCTGATACGTAGTCAAGTTTTAAAATTACTAATGATATTTTACCTATTGATTCACCAGTTAATAAGAAATTTATGAACATCTCTCAAATTTGATGTGAGTGCATCAGTATTGCCTTGTGAGTTTTGGTTTTTGCTTGCTTTGCTTGCTTTAGAAATTTTGGAGCTATTTTAAAGGCTTTTTACCTTGAGATCTGTTTTGCCCTGATATTAGTGTAGCACTACCAGCCAAGAATATTAAAGCAGTTTTACATTTCTGATGGGATCCCAGGGGATTCACTGATATCCAACAAGATTCCACACAGATTACTTAGTTTGTGTTTTTTGAACCATGTGGGTAGTGTGAACTCACACCACTCACATGTATTACAGACTTCAGGTTTCTAATTTTCAAAGGACCCTTTTTATTTATTTATTAAATCATAAACACATAGCTCTTGTATACATTAATGCATTTATTGGGTACAATGTGCTGATTTCATATAGTATTAGGAACGCTTACCTCTCACTGGTTAATATATACCTCATCTCGTTTACTTGATTATTGTGTTGAGACTATTCTCTCTGCTTAATAAAAGGACCCTTTTTGGTTTCCCTGCTCCATATTTCTAGAGTCTAGAGCAAATTAGCAAGCCTCCTACAGCTTCTCTGAACTGGTGTGTAGAGTAGTTTTAGATTCCTTTTCTTAAACTGGGCAGGGTTTTCAGGGTCGGTATTTAACTGATACCATGTGTACTTGAATTATATAGGAAAAACAAAGTTTACATTTATTTTCCCATTTGGCATTTCTGCAGCAAACTTACTTCTTACCGTGACTGCTGTGCAGCCTTGGCCGACTATTCCAGATGTTATGCCTTGTTTTTGAATCTGATAAACAAATACCAGAAGAAACAGGTCAGTTCTTCATTCATTTAATTCTTCAGTGAGACTTTGCCCTGGTATATTTGCATAAGTTCATGTTGAATGACTTTATATTTTAAATAATCTATAGGTTTCTATTAGAAGCTATACATTAGATGTATAAGACTTCCCCAAGATGTTGTGAATTACCTTAGGGCTTGAGGAAGGAATAGTTTGAGGCAGAAACTGTCTCAATGGGATGTCAATGTTGTAGGAAGTTTTCTGATTTAGGGAGGAGGGTAGTAATCTACGGACATGTTATTCCTCCCAGTGATCTATAGACTACCTATGTGAGAGTCACCCTGGGGTGGGATTGGGAGTGTATTAGTTAATTCAAGGCTCCTTCACAGCCCTGCTGAGTCAGACAAGTGGAGCGGGACCTGGCCATCTGCATTTTAGCAAGAACCACAGGGACTTCTGATAGAAGCTATAAAGTTTAGGATCCCTCTACCCTGAATGTTTCCTAAGAGTCTTCTAGCCCTTGAATTCTCTAATTCTTTGACCCCTTTACTGTGTTTAGAAGATGAAATTTCTAGGTAAAAAGTGTTAAATGAAATAATTTAGTTTTAATGAATTGGGGGAAAACTATATATAGTTATTTAAAAGAAGGAAGAACTAATAAATAACTTCCCCTTAGTAAAATCATACTATTTAGCAAAAACATTAGTTTTTATTATAAGCTTCTAAATTTTCCTTAAGTAGTCTACTTTTATTCACTTTTCTAAATGATTAATGTAACATCAACTACACAAGACATTTTATATATGAATATTATATACATTTAAAATATGGAAAATTTTCAAAATCACATAGTACATTTCATCAATTGTGAGACCAAATAAATAATTTATTATGTGTATGCTAAGAATATTTTAATCTAAAGCTTTACGTTTATATTAACCATATTGAGACCACTTTAAAACATATTTCCTGTTTCCATCAGCTAGCATTGAACTTTTCTTTTTGAGACAGGGTCTTGCTCTGTCACCCAGACTAGAGTACAGTGCCACCATCATAGCTCACTACAACCTCAAATTCATGGGCTCAAGTGATCCTCCTATCTTAGGCTCCCAAGTAGCTAGGACTATAGGCAGGTGCCACCATACCTGATCAATTTTTTTATTTTTTGTAGAGATGGTGTTTCACTCTTGCTTAAGCTGGTCTTGAACTCCTGGCCTTGAGCAATCCTCCCACCTTGGCCTTCCAGAGTGCTAGGATTACAGGTGTGAGCCACCATACCTAGCCTAAATTTATTTTTATTCAGCCAAGTATTTTTGCTGAGAATGACTAAATTTTTCAGATTTTACACTATATTAGCCATTCACTATGTATCAAAAGGTTATTAGTGTATTTTCAGTTATACAAATGATATATCTTTACTAAATTATAATAGATGACAAAAACCTTGCTAAAAGGTTAGTAAAAATTAGTTTTACTTGTTTCATTTTTCAAAACTGCACTTGAATCTTCTATTCTGATATTTGGATTACAAATGCTTTCCTCTATGTATTTCGCATTTTCTATAAATTATATACATTGAGAGAAAGATCTCAAAGTTCAAGAATTTGTCATGTCAGATAAAGAATAAATTTGATTAATCTACCTTAAAGTATTCACAATGTACTATGCATTTAAGTGTCCATTAAACATTTCTTTCTTTCTTTCTTTTTTTGAGAGGCAGAGTCTTACTATCTTGCCCTGGGTAGAGTGCCGTGGCATCACAGCTCACAGCCACCTCAAAGTCTTGGGCTTAAGCTATTCTCTTGCCTCAGCCTCCCAAGTAACTGGGACTATAGGCACCCTCTACAATGCCCAGTTATTTTTAGAGATGAGGTCTCATTCTTGTCATACTGGTTTCAAACTCCTGAGCTCAGGCAATTCACTTGCCTCGGCCTCCCAGGGTGCTAGGATTACAGGTCCGAGCTACTGTACCTGGCCTAAAACATTTCTTAATTTAGATTTTTGTACATTATAGTATCAGAACTAAAACCTTGAGACAAATTAGCCTAGTGAATAGCTTAGCCACTCCTATTCCTGATTTTCTCTTTTAAGTTAAAAAATTATTTATTTAAACAATAAATAATAATTTTTGTAATAATATTTAGAGACTGGGTCCCAAGCTAGAGTGCAGTGGCATGATCATAGTTCACTGTAGCCTTAAACTCCTGGGCTTAATCAATCCTTCCACCTCAGCCTCCTGAGTAGCTAGAACTACAGGTGTGCACCACTATGCCCAACTAATTTTTCTTATGTTTTTGTAGAATAAGGTCTTGCTGTGCTACCCACGCTGCTCTTGAACACCTGGCATCAAATAATCTTCCTGCCTTGGTCTCCTAAAGCATTGGAATTTCAGGTGTCTACCACTGAACCTAGCCAGTAAAAAACAAAATTAAATAATAGAAAAGATAGTTTATTGTAGCCTTAAAATAACTCTTTTAGAGTGGGAATGGCAGTACATGCCTATACTCCTAGCACTCTATGGGGTTAAGGGGGAGGATTGCTTGAGGTCAGGAATTCAAGACCAGACTGAGCAAGAGTCAGACCCCCATCTCTACAAAAATTGGAAAAATTAGTCAGATGTGGTGGCACCTGCCTGAAGTCCCAGCTACTCAGGAGGCTGAGACAGGAGGATTGCTTGAACCCAGGAGTTTGAGGTTGTTGTGAGCTAGGCTGAGGCCATGGCACAGAGTGATTAGAGCAAGACTATCTCAAAAAAAAAAAAAATTCTTGTAGATGTTAAAAGAAATTTATTTATGAATCAGATGTGGAATCAGAAAGAAGTGATGTGACAGGGCCTGTGTGTCTTGCACTGGGGCACCAAGCTGGGGTCCTCTCTTCACTGTTCCATTTCCAGGTGGGCCCAGGTATCTCTGCCACAGTCTCTGACACCTGTGATCTGCTAGGGAAACCTATAGAGAAAACACCAGGCTACCCTAGAAGCTGGGAAATGGCCATATCACTCAATCCAAGCAAGAAAATAAAAATATTACCCTCAGTTCATGAAACAAAATTGTTAAATACTTGCCCAAACTAGAACTATGTAGAAGCAAGATTTTATAAAGGAAACAAAACGGGAAGCAGCTCAGGTCTCTAAACTTCGATGCACAGTTTTTTGCACCAAATCTCATCTTTGCAGATCTTATAGTTAATCCTTTTACCCTGTTGAAATACTCCTGTAGAATAAAGTTACATTTAACCTAAAAGAACGAGAGAGAGATTTATGTATTTTACTTTGTAATTTAATTTTAGGGATTTTAATTATAACTTTATTTTACCACCATTATTCTTTTTGTTTTGGTGTTTTGATCTTGGATGACTTATAAACATCTTTCAGTGAAGGAGACTTCTTTGCTTTGTACTGGAATTTCCAGCAAAAGAAAACACTTCTGGCTTGGTGCCTATGGTTCAAGTGGCTAAGGCGCCAGCCACTTACACCTAAGGTGGCGGGTTTGAATCCATCCCAGGCTCACCAAACAACAATGACGACTGCAACCAAAAAATAGCCAGGCATTGCGGTGGGCGCCTATGGTCCCGGCTACTTGGGAGGCTGAGGCAGGAGAATCGCTTGAGCCCAGTAGTTGGAGGTTGCTGTGAGCTGTGATGCCACAGCACTCTACCCAGGGTGACAGCTTGAGGCTCTGTCTCAAAAAAAAAAGAAAAGAAAAGAAAAGAAAACACTTCTGTTTAACAGTTTGATTTCAAATTATGTTATAATGCATAATTTTTTTAAAGGAAGAAAATCTATCAATTGAGTACTGACAAAATAGCCGTATTATTTTATGGCATTACTAGTACACTGTTTTGTTTCTCTAATTGTAGCTTAGATGATGTCGTTGTTGAATAAACAGAAGAAAATCCTGGTATCTTGCCCCAATATGAGAGACTTGAGATGTCAGTGTGGGCTGAGGGTATGCTTTTTCTGGTTCGAGTGACTAAATGTCCTAAATTTAGTTTAATCAGTATACAATTTTCCCACACTTCTCACTAACCTACTTTTCACTTTAGACCAATAGTAATCTGTAAAACAAAACTGGTGTTGAAAAACCACATTTTCCTCTATTGATTTATGCTCTAGTTCTGTGTTCTTATGAAAATTACTTTAATTTCCAAAGAATAAAGAGCACCTTGTAAACTATATACAGTAACATGTTGATTCACAACCATCAGAGAAATGCATGGTTGATCCCTTTAATAACAAACCTAACTTAATTATCATGGTGAAAATCATATGCAAATACAATACATATTTCCTTTCTTTCTTAGAGGATAATAAAAGTAATCTAACCTCTTCCTCCTGCCAAAGGTCATTATTTAAGCGCTAATTACCGCATGCTGCTCTGGGGCCTGATACTGTGGAGTTCTTTCGTGTGGTATCTTCCTTCTGTCGATGTCCTCTCTCTTCCCTTTCTGTCGCTTCCTTTGCCTTTGGTGGTGTGCTTGCCCTTTCATAATTATTTGCTTCCAGTTAGCAGGGAAATCTCATAACCAAGCTTATTTTTTTTTTTCAAGAGCCAAAATTTTATTTATTCATTTCTTGTATTTGAAGTACTGTTTGCTGACATCCTGGAACTGAGATTCTTTGCCAGAGTTCTTCAGTACTACACAACTGTTACCAACCACTTTACAGGGTTTTCTCTCTCTGTCAGTTTTACAAAAGCCTACCCATTCCCCTAGTTACTTGTTGTCATCAACTTTTATTAGGCTGATTTAGTGTTCAGCACAAAGGGCCTCCACCAACTTGGTATACATAGGCTCATCACATTTGGATGCCAGCACGCAAAGATGGGCTTGGTGCTTGTCTTAAGGCTTTGACAGCTTTGCAGAATCCACCTCCAAGGCCATCGTGGATGAGTGCGATCTTCAGCACTTCTTGTAGAGAGGTGTTAATGTCATTACACCTTCATCAGCAATGCCTTCCTTGGCCATGGAGGTGGCTCATAACCAAGCTTATTAAAAGTAACACCTAAGGCCAGGTGCTGTGACTCATGCCTATA